TTTCAGGTACAGAAATAAAGTAAACAAATGTAAAATAACACTTCACTGTATAAATTAAATACATATTAATCCCCCTTTATTGTAACAAACTTTATTATGATTAATCTTTAAAGATCTCCTTTACTAAGGCGGGACTCTTATTTTGACGGGTTTTCTAGTCTACGGAGCTTATTGCTGATTGGCTACAAGTTTGTTTTGCGATTCGGCCTGAAACAGTTTTCTAAAGTGTTTTTGAAAAATCACTTACTCTGCCTTTAACTGGCGTGCAGCATTGGCTTCCTTTGGATTTGCAGTACACTCTGGATGTCTGGATCATGCTGTTTATGAAAGGCTAAGTTCCAGATTTCACTAAAATGATGAACTGGCTTAAATAAACAGCATTTTGCTGTTGCACACAACTGGTAGAACAGTTTTACTTTGGCTGGCTGTGCAAAAGCAGATAATGATTAAAAGCTTCATAGAGAGCTGTGTGAAGTAGTTTGTATTAGCTTTGTTTTAAAACTAAACTTATTAAAATTTAAATTAAATTTTTATTAAAATAATATATTGAACAAATAGTACTTAATTTTTTCATTTAGTATTTATAATTTTATAATTATCAGTATATTACTTATTATATTTAATAAAAATCAATACTATTTTCAGTATTATCCTGCTCGCCTGGTTATTTGGCTATATATATATATGTAAATTCTTTAAATATAAAATTATAGTAATTTAGAATATATTAGTGTAGTAATAGTAGGTTATTTGACCTGCATGCTATATTTCAAGTCTTTTGAAGCCATATGATAGTTTTTTTTGTTTGTTTTTTTGTAAGGAACAGAAGTTAATTTCAAGTCATTTTCACTCGTAAGTAGAGCTGTGCAAATAATCAAAATACAGTTTAGATTTCGGCCTCCAACGATTATGAAAATACAATCATCGAGATAAAACGGTTGTTGTGCCCCATTCCATCCACCCATTCCAAACTTCACATGCAAATCAGTAAAATCATGTAACGTGACTTTCGCAAAATGAGACGTGCTTGATTTATTTAAGATTATTACATTTATTAGTGTTTTTAAAAGCGTGAAAGAGAACTTGCGCTGTTCTTCAACTTTATGTGCATGCGCTCGTACATGGAACAGAACATGGACAAGTGAACTTTTTGCTTCAGGTGCATGCCAGTTTGCATGTAAAACCTCGTCTGTTATGTCCTAAGTGAATGTAAACAATTGAGAATGAAAACACGTGTGTAACAGTAAATTGGATCCGTGCAGCTCTTAAAGTGACAACAGGCTAATATTCCTGCTGCCGACTGTGTGCTTAATATTAATCAAACAACAAAAGACAAAGAGAAAATGACTCGCTGCTCTTGACTGAAGGACTTTTGTATCTTTAATAATAATAATTTTTAATCATGAGTTACCCTAGTATTCTGCTGTGGTAAAATGTAGATGTTATAGCAACCTTATTTACAGAAAATATATATTTGAGATATATTTCTATCTTTAAATAAATCACTCGTATAAAGTTTTGGTCATGTGGCCCACTCATAATCATGTTAAATAATCGTGATTACAACATTGACCACAATAATCGTGATTATGATTTTTGCCATAATCGAGCAGCCCTACTCATAAACTTCGTCACCTCTGCCATTTCTGTCAAACCTCATTCTTGAATATATGCCTATTCAACATGTTCAACCTTGATTATGAGACACGCAAGAAGCAATGTCATTTGGTATCATTAGCATCAAACCTGGCTCAGCTCATCTTCACACACAGTATCTCCATCTCCACAGTATCTGCCTTCATTGTATGGAAGAGAGCAGTATTAACATTCTTCAAAACATCTCATTTTTTTGTTCCATAGACTAAATAAGGTCATACGGTTATATGAATATCAATATATGAATACTTTTAGGTAAACAAAACTCTTTAAATGTAATTTCGGGAAAAATGTAATCACTGATTTGGTATTCAGTCTGAATTACCCTGCCAAATAGACCTAAAATTGACTGTTTGCTTGTTACAACGGCTTGACAGTTCTGTTATCCGTGGGACATCACATCAGGGGAATTTTCTGCATTCTCTAGAATTACATATCAGTCCTTGGTGACCCAGTGCCTCTAATCTACCACCTGGTCATCACTGCTGTATTTGCGCTTCTTGTCTTCAAGCATTTTTAATCATTCCATGCCAAACACACCCTTATCTCCCACAAACCTTTTTTCTAATAAGAGTTATAGACAGGCAGTAATTAACTACTAAATTAACACACATACGCGTGTGCTGCCACTCTTTTCATGTCTTTTGACTGTGTATATATATATATATAATTGCTCAATGGCAGTGGCCATTTTCCTGAACACACACAAGGGACCCCCAGGACCACATGAGCATCCATCAGCACAGCAAACACGTCCACACACACATACTTCTTCTCTACATACCGTGAGATATGTGTGTGTGCGAATGTGACCTTCAGAAGTGCTGAGACATGCCGCAGAGAGTTACAGGAAGTCAGTGACCATCGCCATCTCTCGTGCCTCATTGATCGCCTAGTGTCCTACTCACATGCACACACTTTTCCGTTTGATAGTCATCCTGTGGCCATATGTGTACTTGCATCTCATTGACTACACTGTAAAAAAATTAAGTTGTAAATAAAGATTATTGGAGTGTGTTTTATGAGAAAATACTATTTCAGGCTTTCTACATATTTGCCATTTCTTTGTAATTATTGGTGAAATGTAAATCCAACATCAAAGCTGATGTTGGATCATTCTGGTGGTCAGCTTGTCGATTAATGAATTTATGCTAGGTATTGAATGCAAATACTATATGGCACAGACGAGAGCACCACTTCTACATTTGCTTGTTGGATTTGTTGGCATTACTTAATATGAAGTCTGGGAAGTATTTCCACTTGGTGATGGTACAGTATATTGGCTATAATGGTGTTTTTCTGCTTTGTTTTTTATGGCTCAGACTCTCTTTTATTTTCTTTTGCCTAGGTGTATCCCCAGGCTCAGATGCTCAGGTGAACAGCGAGAATGTCCGCAGTCGAGAGCAGATCCTCCAGACTTTGACTGACCTCTCCAGATCTTTCCAGGACATCGCTGACCGCTGCCTTCTGGTGCTGCATCTTGAGGTCAGGTAGGTCTGACCACTTCATCTCAATCTAAAGCAAGGACTCTATACACAAGTTTTAAGATATCTTCAGACAAACAACAACTTAACCCTCTACCGCACGCATTATGATAGACCTATAGAAAAAAATATTTGAATCTTTTTCTTTTCTAAGAATGGCTTAACTTGAAATGCTGTTAAAAAAAATGTGGAAAAAAATATATTTTTAAGGTACTTTATGATATGTTGCCATACGGCAACAGCATACAATAGTGGATCTAACTTAGAATAAGTGTAAATTGACTTATAGTTCATATTTTTCCTCAGAAATGTTGTTTGTGTTGATTCAATTGGTGCTATTATAAGCTTTAACACAGTACTTACTTATAATTGACACCTTATACATACTTTCCAACAACTTGTGCTTTTATTTATTCCATTATTTTTTGCTGAATAATGATTTATAATTTTTAAATTTCATTAAATTTTTCATGAATATTATTTAAACTACAAATTTATACAGTTAAAACAAATATAATACTGTATATCATGTATCATAAAACATTGACATAAAACCAAAAACATTGCAGTTCATGAAAATTCAGCATTACACAATCTTATGAGAGGAAGACTATGAACATGAGCCCCCCATCCCTCCATCCCCCCTTAATCCTTGAAAGATCACCTTTTTTATGAATGAAACTTTAAAAAGCTGTTTTTTTCATCTGCAGGAAGAACCAGTTCTGCCCTTTTCTTAATTACCTTGCCATAGAATATGGCCGTGCTCACTGATGTAACTAGTCAACATTTGAAGTGGATCAAAACCTTTTATCAAAATTGGCGTAAAAGTAAAACCAAAATGCGTTCTTGTCTTAGGACAACTTTGATGAATGTTTTTTTAATCCTCTTCAAATGTTGACTACTGTATATCCATCAGAACTAAACAGGTTGTATTTTAGGTCTTCCTAAGAGTCTGTCCGGCCTAAAAGAGCACCAATGGGTCATTCACTCTGCGTACCCTCCTCCACAGGCCCTCCCTCCCGCTTGCATGATTATTCTCAGATATCATTTAGCTTATGTGATCCTGTTTATGATTTGGAAACAATAACTCGTGGCTCCCATGCTACGCGTTATTGACTTTTTCCATCAAGCAAATTTCCCCTGACAGTGCTTGAGGGTAAATTAAGCTATAAGAGGAAGGTAAGAAGGTGAGAATACAGGCTTTATGGTTTGGTAGTGGGTGGCTTCGCTTAAAGCTTTACTAATGCCTATTACTAAGGGGAGGTTTATTGCAGGGCTGTTGGAGGCCATTATGGAAACCTTTCCATCTCACCTTCTCTCTCTTTCTGTGTCAAGAACACTCTTACTCTGTGCACCTATACGCAGGTTTATTAGTCCATGAACACTTCACAGATTGTACCCACAAACACACATGCACCTGCTCACAGGACATTCCATCATCCCAGTTCATTCAGTCTTTATAGAGTGAAGCAAGATATTCACTACCAGCATCTGGCATTTCTCTGAGGACTGAAGACAGTCTAGAGTGCCATTAACACTACTCGCATATGATAACAATAACTCACACATTCAAAGTGGTTTTTGTTATTTCTTTCATTTAATGCTAATTTAGATTATGTTGAAATACTCTGAGGAAAAATTTTCCAACAGAATTTTGAGGACAATTTTGTTCTCATCTGGAAAAAAAAAATATATATATAATTTTTTTAATTGATACATAATAAAATGTATTTATCTATTATTATAGTATATGTGTGTAATGTGCTTGTGTATTTATATTATATATTAATATTATATTCTATAAATTAACTATATATATATATATATATATATAGTATAGTATGTACATGAATAAAATTTTATATAAAATTTTATAAAGAAAATTTATAAAAATCATTATTATTATTATATTATGTGTGTATGTGTGATTTATTTTGAGTTAATACTTTATATATATTTAATATATACATCTATTTATTTATTATTTTTGACCTGCACACTGTAGGCCTTTATGTCATAGAGGAGCATTAATACAAACTCCCTTTTAAAATAAAAAAAATATGGATAAAATATACCAAATGTGAAAATAATTAGTTCACACGATCAAAGGCATCTTAATTGCGGTTTTCCAGGAATGTCTGATGAAAAGACTTTTTCATGTGAAGATTATTCATTTTGAGGTGAAACCCTGTGTGAGTTAAAACGCGTCATATCTCAAGCTTCAGGAAAGTTCTTATCTGTCTCAACTCATAATTGTCATTCCGTGCCTGTCGTCTCTGCCCCATCAGGGTCCACTGTTTCCATTATCTGATCCCTCTGGCAAAACAAGGCAACTACGCCATTGTAGCTAATGCAGCCAGCATGGACTACGACCCCCTGGTGGTGAAGCTGAATAAGGACATCAGTGCCATAGAGGAAGTGATGGGAGCCGCCCTGCAGCAGCACAAGTTTCAGTATATCTTTGAGGGTGAGTGAACTCTTGCCTCAACAGGAAGCTGATGCCTGAAGCAGTATTTATTTTCTTACTATCTTCCTGTTCTTGGTACAGGTCTGGGTCACCTGATCTCTTGTATTCTGATAAACGGAGCTCAGTACTTCAAGCGCATCAGCGAGTCTGGCATCAAGAAGATGTGCAGAAATATCTTTGTGCTCCAGCAGAACCTGACCAACATCACCATGTCACGTGAGGCTGATCTGGACTTTGCCAGGTAGAATACACAAATATTCTCAGTAGGGATGTGCAATACTACATCATTTCAAAATCAGCTAGCCTAAACAACTCCTCAACCAATCGGTTTTAAGAAAAACATGTATGCTTAGGCTTGTTTAGGGTTCATCAGGACACATTTCTTAGTGTGTTTACATTAGACACGTTGCTTTCAGATACACAGAGTGGAAGTCTAGATTAACTAGTCAACCTCGCTAATCAACTAGTTAATTGTCATTTAGTTTTACTAGTCTTAAAAAGTTAGTCATCTAATTTTTTTCATCAAGACTGGCCATAACTTTTTTAAAGTCAGTTACAAAAATATAGATTGTATCATTTAAATGTGAAAAGTAAGACTGATTACCCCTCATCTAACTGCTAGTTGGTCAAACTAGTTCTTAAGACAGTCTTAATATAGTGACTATGTTTATGCAACTGGCCACCTGTATGTTTTAGTTTTTGTTTCACTATTGTATAGTTATCATTTATTTATATTTAATATGTTTGTGCTGCCAAAGTTAGTATATTAACTAATATCATTTACATAGCAGCACAAAATTTCTCAAGGCTATTTAGTTTTATCGATAGTGTTATCTAGTGGCATTTTCATGTTTAATGTAAGTAGGTAATAGGCATGGGACGGTATGAAATTTTGACGGTATGACCTTAAGCAAAAATATCACGGTATTGTCGTTACAGCTCTAAAATTTGTTATTTTTAAATGACTGGGTAAAAAAAAAAAAAAAGTTTTTTTCCGCTGACAATATATTTTGTTTTTGAGCAACATACAGAATATTAGGAATAGTAGAATTAAGGAGACATGAAAAACAGCGCATACCGCAGGAACGGTATAACGGAAAATATTAGCGGTTTTGAAACCGTGACATTTTCAAATCGCGGTATACCTTGAAACCGGTAATCGGCCCATGCCTAGTAGGTAATGAAATTTTAAACATTCACAATGTATTTTTCTACTTTATATTTATACAATTTAGTGATTTGGGTTACTTTATATTTACTATTACTTTATATTTATACTTAGTATAAGCCATAATGAATTAGAATTTTTATTTTTAATATAAAATAATTTTTAAAACTAAAGCTGATTTCCATGGAATCTTATTTCCTAAAATAACCTTAAAGTAATGAACATCACATAAACGCGAATAAAGATGAAAATGTAGAGAAATATATCTTGATACAATTTTATTTATTTTATTTTAGTTCATTTTGGAGTCCCCCCCCCCTCCTCTCGGTCTCTCTCTCTCTTTCATATATGATGTCATGCGATGTATGGGTGGTACAGGTGGTGACTGGAATTATAGTTCATTATTTACTCTATCAAGGCTCCTCTGATTGGCCCCTCCTACACGCACACGGCAGAGAGAGCATCTCTCTGTAAACCTCTTATGAATACATTGGCATTATCCTCATAAACCGCTTGGAAAACAAGATAATAAAGGAGCACTATAGCACTAGACTCTTGCAGCTGTACCCCTGTCATTTACATTCAGCTTTGAATGCGTGTAGACGCCTGTGTGTTGAGGGATTCATTCGAGAGAGATGGAAGCATATATGTGGATGCTGGGAGATGGAGAAAGGCCCGTGAGGAAGAAGGGGAATCGTTGGCCGCTCTCCCATCTGAATGCTTGCTGTGGGCGACTGGGCCAAGGACACAGTAATAACCATCGATTTGAGTTAAAGCTGAGCAGTGCAATGGCCAAACCCAGTGGCGCTCCTCTCTTATGGCAGGCTTTGGTCACAGTGCCATCTAGTGAGGAGAAAAATGGCTTCAGTGTAGAAAGCATGCTTGAACGTGAAACGTGAAATTGAGCAGTTAGCACATTTATTCATTTAAGTGAGTACAAATAATGTTATTTGTGTGTGCAGGGCTACTGCCGGAGGTTTTGATGTTCAAATCAGGAGTAAACAGCTTTACTAGTAGTTTTTCATTGAAATGACCTTGCATGCGTGGTGTTGGTCCAGTTCCCAAGCAAAACCAGAGTGCTTTTACTCTCGCTACATGCTCACACTCATACACATACACACACCATCTGCTCACAGTCTTAGACTGAGCCAGGCCATGTCCCAGAGTCCTGCAGGTGCCTCAGTAATGTCTAATCAACGTCACCCAGACCTGGCAAGAGACTGCTGGTTGTGAGCTAATGTATGTGTATGTTTTTAACTCCAGTGTCTCTGTATATTAATTAAATGTGCGAAATGGATGGAATCGATCATAAGGACAAACTAGAACCTCTTCATAAATCTGTATGATCCACATTTTGAATCAGTAGATACATATATTAGATACATATAAAATACAAATATATACATATAAAATTTGTAGTGAGTAATATTTTTTCTCTTTTTTTAACAAAAAAAAACTTTTATTCATCAAGTACACATTAAATTGATCATAAGTGACTTTAATAATGTTACAAAAGATTTATATTTCAAATAAATGCCGTTCTTTTGAATTATCTGTTCATCTAAGGATTTGACTGGGAAAAAATGCAATATTGATTATAACAAGAAATGTTTCTTGAGCAGCAAATCAGCATATTATAATGATTTGAAACAATGAAGATTGGAGTAATTGTAGCTAAAAAATCCAACTTTGCATCACAGGAATAAATTACATTTTAAATATATTAAAATAGTAAACAATTATTTTAAATTGTAATAATATTTCACAATAATATTGTTTTTGCTCAAATAAATGCAGACTTGGTGAGCAGAAGAGGCTTCTTTCAAAAATATTAAAGAATCAAAATGTTGTAGATATGTAGTTAGTTTTTTTTTTTACTTTATGCTAATAAGCAATGATGTAATGTGGTTAACAACCAATGGGAGTGCAGACAGTAAAGCTGACTTGATCCCCCCATTGGAGAGGAAAGTCTACTAGCAACTATTTCACTCACTAGACCATCTGATGCCTATTGTGCACAGAAATGCCAAGTAATGGCTGCAATCATTAGTTATAATATGATTGATTGACTTTACATGAACTCAGTTCTGTTTTAGAATTTAGAAGTTTAGAAGTTCTGCAATAGAATTTAATTTTCCATGCAGGTGTAGTATTTTTTTATAACCTATTTTGGATAAACCCATCTCCAAGCAGCACAAAACACTGGAAGTTTTCAAAAAATCCTGTTGTTTGTCACATTGGACAGTGCTGCAGTGAGGACCAGCCATGCTGATCACGTTCTCTCTCTCTTCCAGTGAAAAATCTAAACCATGCTCTCTCACTCAGTAAGGAAAGGGAAATTTGCTAGAAATTCACACTTCAGAGACTGGCTGACTGACACGCAAGGGTCAAAGGTCAAGCTGTTGGAAAAGCACGTGTCTTGTGAGGCCATTTGTAAAGGCTTCTGGAAAAACGACATTTAGTCAGCGTGTCAGGGTGACGGCCTGGACTGTTTACACTGCGGCTGCTCTGCGCTCTCGATAACCACAAAACAAACCGGCAGCTGCACTTGACAGCACATTGGTCTTTCTGTTTAGGCGTATGTGAGTAACATGCAGCTTTTCTACATATCTGTTTATTGTGTTTATCTGGATTTATTGCTCTATATTTTCGCATTTGTTTGCAGTTATGTGATGTTCTTTATTTCACTGTTATTCTAAGAAATAAGATGCCAGGAAATAAAAATCTAACTCTTATCAAACACCATTATAATTTGGCAAAGGCATTCAGTGGCTATTATAAATATATCCAATATTCATAATATGTTATGCAGCTGATTTTGATGCCGATATAAAATTAAAGTGCCCCTATTATGCCTTTTTTAAGGTTCCTAATATTGTTTTGGGAGTCTCCTACAATGCATGCAAGGTCAAAAACGCTTTCGTTTTCTCAAAATATGCATTTAATATCACCTCATTTTCCAATGGTTCTCAAATGATTCATTCGAAGCAGTTCTAAGATTCAGTCTCTCTAAACCCCTCCTTTCTGTGAGCCTACTCTGCTCTGATTGGTCAGATGGCCCAGTCTGTTGTGATTGGTCTACCGCATACAGCGCATTTCGGAAACAATACGCCCATTGCCATAGTTCTGTATTTTGAACGCTCGATAGAAAATATAAAAATCTATTATTTATCATACTTACAGGTTGTGATTCAGTGGAGCCAGCTGGTCCAAATAAACTGGGTCATCTTTCAAGAGCAAGCGTTTGTGAATCCTGCGATGAACTCCCCGAGATTTGAGAAGCAGTCGTCAGTAAAATACAAACACAAAAAAAGATTGGGGTTGTACTGATCTGGGCGATATAGCTAAAAAATGTATCAACGAGATAATGTTTCATATCGTTCGGTATCGATAATTATTGACATTTTTATAACCTTTTTTAAAACAAAAAGCAATAGAATTTTTTTTTTAATTTAACAACTGTATTTATAATTAACACAATTTATTGAGACAAACAACAAATATTTTTGGTTTTAACAGTTAAACACACAATAAAAATTAATCTCGTGCGCCACTGATGACGCTCCCTGATGCACACCTAACATTCAAATGCAAATGTTTATTTTAAATTTGACTAATATTCATTCTTTATTCACAATCTCCTCATCACAGGCAGGCACAGCACTCATTTCAGCATGTGTTCGTGTTTGTGTGTGCTGTCTGCGTCACTCATAGTACGTGCCTATTTCGTGCGCTATATCGAACATTTTTTCTATCGATATTGAAGAAGGTGTACTGTCGATAAATATCGATACCGGTTTATCGCCCAGGCCTAATTTTAACCACTGATTCTTTGCAGCCTCATCATTCGGAAGTGAAAATAAAACAAATTTATTTTCACAGCGTAGGACAGCGTCTTCTCGACATGATGTTTTTCACACAAACAAGCTACAGTGTTTGAGGGCGGGGTCAAGTTCGTGGCCGGCCAACGTAGAATATAGCTGTGCATTATGCAAATGTGTTCCCCCGTGACGTGTAGCTGTCACGGAAGTGGGTTTTGAATTACTGACAACTCGTTTCGGCTGTTCAGAGATGATTCTTTCTTTTGGGAGACAATAACTTTAATTATTGTGCACTTTAGGCTTTACAACTTTGCAGATCGTTTACATTCATATACAGCTACATTGCACACTGCATGAAAGGTAATATTCGAAACGGCATAATATGGGCACTTCAAGCAACACGGTGACTATTGCAATGATTTTCATGTGCTTTTTATAAGCCTGTTGAAATTAAGTTGGTTTAATTCTGTGTTGTTTAATTTCAATGAATCTGTTCTGTATTCAGTGATTCAGTGATAAAATATATATATATATATATATAA